AAAGATAGTTTATGCTGGAAGTCCAGACTACTAATTCTTATCCTTTCATAGAGGTGTGGATGGGAAGAGAGAAAGGGAATGAATATGAGACAAAGTTTCAGCCCAGATAAGTGGTTATTACCTTTAATTTCCTGGTCTCCATGGGCTTGTCAGTAATGTTTTGCCAGGCTGGTTGCTTTTAAATATGTGTCAGAGCTGACACAAGAGGCAACAACATCTCAGCAGTGTATTATTTACCCAGGAGTATATGCTATAAACTGTAATAGAAATATATCATTACGTATACATTAAAGTTCAATTTGTTTTGATGCTCCTGTAGTCCCCTTGCAAATAATACTTATCAGTTGGAGGAAGAATGAGATCCATCTGAGCTTAGACACATTCTGGTGACTTCTGAAGAAATCAGGCTGTTTGTTCTCACCAGGAAATGCTGACCCTCAGTCTGGACAGTCGTCTGCAAAGCTCATTTTTGTCAGCTAGCTTTGGCTCTCTTTGTTTTACATGACACCTGAATGGTGCCTGGTGCTGTGACTTACTTAAGCATCTAAAAATGGTGTCGGAAATGCTGTGTGGGGACCAAGAGCAGAGACCCTGTGCTCTGCTGCCCCGAGGACTAGAACAAGTTTAGCTAAGCCCCAGAGTATCTTTGTGCAGAGTCTTTCTTCGTTCTTGGCCCTTGCATAAAGTAAAGTAACTTGCATAAAGTAAAGTAATTCTTGTAACAGCCAACAGGGAGACTGGGAGAAAGAAACAGACAGTTTTTAAGGAGGACTCAAGGCATGAGTTACGAGTTTCTATAAGGCATTAGCTTCAGCTGGGCAGGGGATATGTTTCAGTGGTCGTAAGGAGGCTGTTGCATTTACAGACACAAAGTCCTTTTATATTATCCAGCCCTTGGGTCCATAATCACCTACTGCTCCAGAGATATCTGTCACACAACATCGCTGTGCCCGTGTGTATAGTCTGGGAGTTTTACTCAAGATTTAGCCTTCCGCAGTACAGGTGACATTGCTGTGGTACTAATGGGCACAAAGAAGCAGGAATTAGTGCAGAGGTATCCGGAGGTGGTTTTCAGCATGCCTTCGTGCAGCTGCTTTTCCCTGCTGGCTGGCAGCTGGGGCTGCATTGTCCCTCGGAAGAGAAGAGCTGTTGCTGCTGAACTGAAAACATCGGCAGTGGTAAGTGGTACTCGGAGGATGCCAGATTGGAGTGGGAGCATGAAGAAGTCGTATTTGACTGTTTAATGGCCTAAGTAAATGGGATGAGAGTTGGCAGTGTCTAGTTCAGAAAACTGCACACCACCATTAGAGTAAACGACCTCCTAATCAGGAGGTGTGCTACAGTGTGATTACCCAGCAGGTCACGTCTGGAAACTCAGTGGCCAAATGTTTAAAGGCATTGGAGGCTCATAAGGATACAGAGAAGCACCAAATGGTGTTTTCAGAAGTGGCTCTTATTACTTAGATTGCAATAAAATCCATGGGAATCATACAGTGAAGTAGTTCTTAATGCCTCCCTGAGAAAACTCTGCAAGGTGCCTGTTTTCGTTAATAGGTGCCCAAGTGCCTCTTAAAAACCTGGCTGTCAGAGATGTCCCCTCCCCAGTAAGGCTTAGCAACAGTGAGTAGCAGAGGTGGAAGAAGGATTAAGATGCAAATGCTGCAGTGTTTGGGTCCTCCCTGTGTAATGCCTGTGTGTGGCTGTATTTGCGTGCCTAGTGCCACAGAAAGGTGCATCACGCAGGGACATGCCATCAGAAAGGAAGGATGTGGCGCACAGACCTCCCAAAAGGTATCGAAGCAGAGAACAAAAAAGATCAGAGCATTGTCTCGGATTCCCGTTCCCCTGAGCAGATGAAAAGGAAAGGAGGATGTGTTTAGTACCTTCTTCCTTAGGTCACAACAGCAAAAGTACAACCTGGCTCCAGGGCTAAATAAAGAAGGAAAACAAACTAAGCCGTGCTACCAGCTGTGATGGAGAAAGGCCTGCTGTGTTGTCCAGGAGGATTATTAGTGCTACCAGTAGCTGGGGAGACCCACTTAAAACTGTAGGAATGGAAAGTGGAAAGGTAAACTTCCAACAAAGGTAATCAAAAGTATGAAGAAATAGAATATTCTTTCACAAAATTCAGTCTCTTCAAAATCTTATTGCAAATATTATCTTGCAAAATAATCTAGCTATATTGTATCTTATAATATGAGCTAATTAGTGATACATAAGAGAGAGAACAGGACCTTGAAAGAGGAGGCTTAGAAAGCCTTCACCAACTGTGTCAGGGACTGTAGTTTAAATGCAAAGCTAGTGAACATTCAGATGCATAGTAGCAATCAGGCAGCCACCAAGAGAATTCATCAAGGAGCACAGAGGCGGATGAAGCTGCAGAGCAGAATACTTGTGTCAAAGTAAATGCCAAGATGTGAACAGAGGAGCTGAATTCAATGCAGTGGAAGGCCAGCGGGTACTGTGGAGTAAAACCTGGTTATGAAAAGCAGGGTCATAGGCAGACTGGCAAGTACACCATGGTGTCAAAGTCTGCGGGGGAGAGCAGCTAAAGAAAAACTGGAGCAGAATCAGGAAGCAGGCACAGATTTAGAGTTTGGATGTGTATGATACTAGGCTGTGCAAAGTGGCAAAAATAAATGGTTTGTAGGGTCCAGGCTGGCACCAGATGCAGCAATATTACAGTAACAGGCCATAGGCAAGAAACTGAATATCAGGTGGATGGAGAACATACAGAACTAAGGAGATTTCCTTGGGATTATTCAAGGGAAGAAAGCAACATTGTCATCTAGCAACATCGTCATCTAGCAACATCGTCATCTAGCAACATCTGAATGATACGTAGAAAATACCTGGGCTTATGCTTCCAGTGGTATAGCAGATGCAGAAGCCACCACTGTCAATGCAAACAGGAAAATAAATGATGCTTAGATAGCTACGCTGCTCTCTGGACTTGAGCTCATCTCTCTGCAGAATCAGGCTGGCTTAGCCCAGGGTGCCTGCAGTGGGCACCCCTGGCTGGGATAGCAGCACCTCTGGAAACTCTGCCTTCGCTGAGGAGTGCGGAGAGAGGATCATAGGAGCTAAGGAAGGGGTAGCGCATGTCTTACGCTGCTGTAAGTGATCTTCTCTCCCATTACGGTTGCACCCTGAGGCTGTTCACTCAGCTCTGTTTTTTCATAAGGTAAAAACAAAGTGTTTTGTCCTACCAGAAAAGGGTGCGGACTGATCTGTTTTCTGTTTTCTTGGAGGCAGTTTCTCTAGCTCAGAGCAGGCGTACACTGGTGGCACAACATGAAGAGTTTGAGCCAGCCGATTTCTCACTTACCTCTTGGGTGAGGCAGTTGCCCAGCATCTTCCGCAATCCCTAACCCCATTAACCAGCTCAAAATAACAAATGAGGGATCGTTCTCCAACTATCCCTACATTTTTGGGTGGGTTGGGGTTTTTTTCTGTAAGTTGATATTATCTCACTGATGTGACAGGCAGGATTAATAAAGGCTTAGTCACAGAACTGGAAAGAACACTTACTTCTACACATAGGACTAAGAGCTGCCTCGAACCTTCCTTGTTTGAGCAAGCAGCCAGAAAGTGAGGGGAAATAATGAGAAAAAGGAGAGGTACTTGTCACTACAACTTCATGATTGAGCATAGATGTCAGTGAGAGAGGAGACAGTTTTCTGCTTGTTGCCAAAAGCTATGGAATCACAGAGCAGTGTCTTCATATTTTGCTGCAGGATTTCCCAATGATACTGTGTTAATATACAGCAAAGCAATATGGATTAGCAATGCCATATCAAGACATGACACTACTAATTATGTGGGCTTCTTTGGAATGAGGTGACCTTGAAATCTGTTAATTAAGTAGTAGTATGTGTCTTGGTTTAATTCAGTGTCATTTGTAAGCGCAAAGAAATATCCCTATGTTTCTGTTCCCAAAATAAATCAATATTTACTGTTTGTTAGATAGCATATGGAAACAGAAAAGCTGCACTGGAGGTCTGTGAACTGCTCAGAACCCTTGTTGAATGTAACAGGCTCTGTCTGAACCTACAATTTCTGCATAAACTTTGGATACTACTTTGTAGAGCCATTCCGCATATGGATGTTCATGCAGCATTTGGTTAGACTTACTAAAAAAGTCTTTTGCTCAAGTAAACCATTACAAGTCCCATCAGCCCAGCTCTGCCCTGCCTTTGCAGCAAAGACCTGTTGCTACAGGCCTTTGCGTTACTGCAGGAGATGTTTCCAGTCAGGATTCATTTTTTACATAGGTAAATGGGGACTTTGGTGAGACAACTCAAAAGAGTTTGCCCTGAGCATTAAGCTTTGTAAAATGAACGACTACATTTAGAATTGCCTTTCAACATTAATATCTGGAAAAGATCTGCCCTGTTCTCTATATGAGAGTGGGGATTTATTTGCTGTGGTAAAAGTGGAGTGGACTCCTCCTTTCTCCTTTCCAAGGTACTCCTGTTTTGGTTTGTGTTGTCACCTTTTTCTTAAGGAGAAGAATATTCCTGATGATAAAAACGGTATACAGAGATGAGACTGCATTTTGGAAATTCAGTAGTATCTTCTTCTCCATAGATCCTTAACCACTAACCAAAAGAGTAAAAATTTTAAAACAAACTTTTGAGGGAAAAGGTTACCTTTGCCAAAGAAGGTACTACTGCAGAGATGCACATGTTGAGCTGATTTTACAAAGTAGTCAAGTCGTTTTGCATTCTAAAACTTTTAAGATCTGCATGCAAGGTACAACTAAATTTCTCTGACAGGTACATGGAAATGCTGTTAATAACCTAATATCCCTTGTGTCAGAAATGTATTTTTGGAATGTGTAAAGCTAAAAGATATTTTTTTTAATGCAGTATCATGAAATTAGAAAGGCTGGGAATTGATAAAAGATGTGATTTTTTTCCTCTGTGCCTTCATCCCATAGCATTTTAGGAAATGGTGGGCTTCGTCTTAATCCCTGTATGTTCTTTGTGTATTTTCAGGATTCCTCTTCAATTGGAACAGCCACGGTGGCTGGTCCCAGGACAAGTGCAATAATTGGAGATCAGGGAACACCACCGAAGGTCCAGCTCCCCCTCAATATGTAAGCAGCTCATCTCAGTCACTGCATACTCTTTGTTTCCAATCATGTGCGCATGTGTACGTGTGTTTGAAATCTGAAAGCCTGAATCTCAGCTCGGGAGCATTCTGAGAAGAGAGAGATTGCAATTTCATACATGACCCAGCCTCTGCTGAAATTCAAAAATGAGAAGGCAGGCAAGACTTCCCCCTTTCTCAGTGAGCCCTTTTAGACTCCTGGTATATTTATTACAGCTGTATGAATCACTGTGAAGCAAATGGAATGCCTCTTAGCTAGAGAAAATCTTCTTCCTTCATTTAAAGCTCTTAAAAAGGTGTAGTCCCATGCAATCAAACACCTGATATATTCAGCATTAACCAGAAAAAATGACCCAATTGCATTTTTTCAGTGCCATAAACAAAGACAACGAATGAACTTCATATCATGGGCATATGGGCTCATTGAATAGTGTGTAGAGTAACAGAAGGTTGACTAGATACAGAACAAAAAGAGTTGACTTCATTATAATAAATCTCTTCCAGCCTGGTTGGTTTATCTGGTACCTGTCTAGTTAAACCGCTGAACCCTTTTCTCTCATCACGTATACCTTGTGAAAGCAGTAGAACTATATAGACACACACACATATGCACACCAGTATTTTAGGGTTTTATGATATGGCTAAAATGAGGTCTGAATTCACAAATAAAATCCTAAAATAACACAGCAAATCTGCTTTGAGGAGAATAGGGGAGTTGGAACAGAACCAAAACAAATTTTTTCTTGGCTACTAAGGTGAGATCTTTTTATACCTGAGGGGTACCACACATCACTGACAGCCCCACGAAGAGGTCTCATCATCACCCTGTGGTCACCCTGTGTAGTCTGTGTGGCACATAGTGGGGCACAAATTTATTTCAAATGTTGCCCAGACTAGGAAGCCATAACAGGCAGTATTTCCAATATTTAGTTGCTGAATCAGGGCATTTTCCAGCTCTCTGGCAATGCCCCTGCTTCTGTGCCTCAGCAAGCCTCCCCTTCTTCCTCCTGTGCTTCTCCTGTCGTCTCCCTCTGTGAAGCAGCCTCATAATCTGGTCTGTCATTTTGCATTTGTGAGACAAGTTTCAGTCAAAGAGAAAAGTGAAATCTTAGCAGAACTGGGGAGGATTGTAATCCTAGAGCCCTGGGGCTTCTGCATTATAAGTAGGGTCACAGACAGCTCCCTTAGGCCACGAACGTGAGCTTCACGTGTAGATGTGGCACTTAGGATATGGTTTAGTGGTGGACTTGGTAGTATTAGGTTAACAGTTGGACTTGATAAAGGTCTTTTCCAACCTAAAAGATTCAATGATTCTAAGATTCTATGATCCTAGCTTCTTGCTTGGGCCTTTTTTTAGGGAACTTGTTATAAAGATTTTGGCTTCCTCTAGGTCCTGCTCCTAGAGAGTTTAGAGAGTTTTCTGGTGAAGTGTCACATCTAAAATCTAGAGAACGGTGAAACATGTCCAAGTCCAAAGGCTTTGGCTTAAGGCAAAATCAGCCTCATCAAGTGGGACCACTAGCCCTGATCCCCTGCCAGAGGAAAAGCCCAGAAATGCTTTCTGGGGAGGGAAGCAGCCTGCACTCAAATTGTTTTCCACCCTACAAGACAGCAGGCACCCTGCAAGCTGTCCCACAGCCCCCTCTCTGCCAGCGCACGGGGCATACGCCTGCCCCCATGGGGTGGGCATGCCAGCCACGGCCAGGCAGTTGACCCAAGCTGTGCCTGTCGCTGGGTTTGGAGAAGCCCCTGGCTCTTTGCAGACTAATAGAGGAAACCTCAAGGGATGGTCATCCTCACTGCCCCACACCGGTGGTGGGATCGCCGGTCTGCAAAGACAGTGCTGATCACCTCCACTGTCCCAGGGTCATGCTATGTGGTTATCACATACAAGTTTTCATCACTTTAGCAATACAGAGATTGGTCAGTTTTGGCATGGAGTCCAGGCTGGGCTGTTGTATGCCTTCTTTTAGTCTATGCAAGGATTTTGATACTCTCTCCGGAGGATGTTTAGGCTCATTGTGATATTGGTTATTCAGGCTTACTGGAGGCTGAGTTGGGGCAATTTGCAGGGTGGAACAGAAAGAAACTAGTAGGAGAGCTGGAGATGGCTGCAAGGGAAAGAAGCCTATGATCCACTTAGGGTAATTTCCCTTGCACCTTATTCCAGCATCTCAACCTGTAAATTACTTTATTACATGTAGTCCCCTGGGGAAAGGGCTAAGTAAGTCTATTTAAATTGCTCTGTCCTTGACCCTCCGCTTTACCCATACCTTCTGAATATGAGCTCCATGCAAGCAGCAAGTTAAAAAGGGGTAGTCAAAGCCACACTTTCTGCTCCCTCGAGTAAGTGCAATCTTGGCACTTTCCGTTACATCCCAGCAGAGCACTGTGCTGAAGGATTAGCACTGAGGCATGTAACCTTATTTCATGTCAAGGTGATGCATTTTAATGTTCTTCAGTTCATATGTTAGCCTCATGTTTTCCATCAGGTGAGCAGCTACAGACCTGCTCAGAACCAACTGATTACATAGGCTAAACAAAGGACGTGCAGGATGGTTTCTGTTGACTAATGAAATACCGTTTCTGGTGAGGTCTTTATACCCCATGCACGTGGTAAACAGAGCCAGGCACATCAGCCTAAGCATGCCCCAAGGAGCTGTTACCAAATATTTCATATTCTGCTCATTACTGCTGTTTATTTACTGCCTTCAGAATAAAAATACAGAAATCTACTGGTACCATAAAGGAGTAGAATCAGGAAAACTAACAGGATTTATTCCTCAATTATATTTCCTGGAGAGCAGAAGTAAAAAGCCATGTATCATTTTTATTGGCTGCAAGTCTACAATCACAGTGGTTGTAGTTTTCATTATTTCCCTGGTTCGCTGCTATAAGGTGGGCAGCAAGCCTCTTCTCACCCACCCCCAAGCCTAAGAGCATTCTGCTGCACTTTGTAGTGTAAATGCACTTTCTGTAAGTGTTTTCCCATTTGTCCTAATCTCTCTGCACTGCCTGTAAAGCACAAATAACAAAAAAAAAATCCTCAAGAAGGCACAACCTTGATCAAGAATTTCCAGAAATCCCTTTTTGCATTTGTAGAAAGGTGACAGTACCAAAAAAACAATTGGTATTTACAAAGAAAGTATTGTTCTGTGTGTGCATTCTTGCTATCCTATCCCAACTTTCCATTATTCCCCAAAGTGCAAGCAATCATTCTTAATTTTTCAACAAGGATCTCTCTAAACAGAGATAATATCTTTAGGGACTTTAAGTTCTAGTCATTTCACAACATTAGACACATCCCTGAAGTAGTAGCGGAAGAACAAAAGAGAGATAAAAAGAAAGATTCTAAACAAAGGGAATAAATAAAAGCTGTAATTAAATAAATAAAAAGTTCTACATATTGGGTCCTGCATTAAATATTTATTAGAATACTTGCATACAAAACATCCAAAGCCAAATTCTATCACTTCACTTACTTAAGCAAAAATCCTCTTGCAGAATTTGGCCCTCTGTCACTTTTTGGTTTAACTCTATCCCGGCCGAAACCAGGACACCCACATAATACAAGAATTACCGTACCGGATCAGAAGAGTTCTGTGTGTTGTTTCTAAAACTGGCTGGCGTAAATAGCTTTGTTTGGTGTGCTGTAATGATGTCCCTTTTTAACCACTGTTTCTGAGCAGTGTTTCTGTTCACTTTCTGCTCTGCGGGGCTGGAGTCAAAGCGGGACAGGCGGTGGTTGATGTCAGCTGTGTGCTTTCTTCTTGTGTGACCTCTCCCTGCAGCTACCTAGCCCTGTACGCCTACAAGCCTCAGAAGAACGATGAGCTGGAGCTTCGCAAAGGTGAGATGTACCGGGTGATTGAGAAGTGCCAGGACGGCTGGTTCAAGGGGACGTCTCTGAGGAGTGGGATGTCTGGCGTCTTCCCTGGCAACTACGTGACGCCTGTTTCAAGGTGAGGACCACTGGCCCAGATGGATATGCCTGAGCTGGGGCTGGGAGGGATTCTGCACCTGGAGGATGCTGAAAACAACGTAGCTCTACTTTTAAATCACATTCCCCTTCCAGAAATTTTCTGGTGGCATTGTAGACTTGGATAACGATACTTGCTGGTAGTAGCATTGGAGTTATCCATGTTCTCAGAAGACTTCACTAGTTGTTTTAGATGATGTCTTTTACAGCCTCTGACTTGACAAAGTCTGATGAGCCCAGGTTTTACAATTGTAAAGAATCTGTTGGCTAACGATTTTTTTATTGTTATAAAACTACTGGACATGTAACAGGGATAAACAAAATAAGGAATGCTTGTGTCTTGCTTTTCAGTAGATCCTCATGTAGATTTCGCTTTTCTTAAATCAAAGGACTTGGATTATTTTGATCAGAACTAATGTTTGAACCATTAAAATTCAGAAGTGGTAGGAGAGTTCAGTAAACTGTCTGATTTTAGCTACCTCTGTCTCAGTTGCAGAAGATGAGAAAAGGAAAGAATAGCATGTTTGGGGAGGAACACCATTTGTCAGAGTTTGGTATTGGACACCACCAAATCAAAGGGTGTTTCTGATCTGAGCCCACTCAGAAATAGTCTGCAAGCTGAGGAGAAAGTTCATCAGTGTGTCCAAGACTGTTTTGCCCCATGTTCTCCTTGCAGGTGAATGTTGCCATGTGTATGCCCGCATGTCCTTTAGAGCAGCTGTGAATTTGCAAATCTAACTCAGTCCTTCTCAGATGCTCTCAGTCTCGCCTCGCACATGCACACAGTCTCCACCATCTTTCACTCCTGTCCAGAGAAAGGCACCTCACCACTCAGAAAGTGTTGATCTTGAAAATTTGATCCAGGTGTGTTCCATCTTCAGTTTATGTCAAGTTTGTGATATGTGGACTGAGCAAGACCAAAAGTTAAGAGCAGATTATAAGACAATAACTAAGCCTGCTGACACTCCTAATATTGCATTTCAGTCAAAAAACCACATTAATTCATGGGGTCTTCACTGTTCATCAATATAAATGTATTTACCTGATTTTGTAGACCCCCTTAGCTGCCTTCACTCCTTGCCTCTTCAGCTCTTAATTAGTAAAGAAATTTGTGCTGAAGTGTTGGTGATCTGAATCAGCAAGTCTTTATTAAATGCAGCATGTCACAGCTAGAACAAGACACAGAGAAGTGCTAAAGGGCAAAAGTGCTTTCCACAAAACCTGAAAGCAGCTTTATGATTATATTTATGATCCTATGAGATAATTAAGTTCCTGTGTAAATCACCCTCAGTGAGAACAGCAAGAAAAATCTGATAGCAACAGAATCTCCTATTTGCTGCACTTTCAACTTACTTTGTTCCCCTTTGACAGCAAAGCAGAGGATTAGATTCATGTGTGGTTTTCTGCCACTCTCTACAAAACCCAGAAAAGAAGTTGCCCATGAATTTAGTAACACTGAACTAGATTTATAAGCTGCCAAATCACATGTGTGAGCAGAGCATGGTGATAAAAGGACAAGACCCTTTAGATGGACAGACAGGCACAGGGCAGCTGAGAAAATTTGCCACATCCAAGATCTATCCAGCTCTGTGGGAGTCACAGATAGTTTCTGTACCTGTTGGTGCGCATGTTTTCCTGAACACAGCTTTCAGTGGACTATTAGGTGTGCTTTTCTGGCAAACTCTATCTAGTGCAGATGGCCAAGCCAGCTCCAGCTGAACCTTGCTGCTACCCTGCCAGCTCTTCACAGCAGATGACAGACAGTCAAGATTTCCATCTGGTGGGATTCCCAGCTTTTCCCTACCTGGAGACTGATGAAAAAAAGATTTGAAGAAAAAAAGTCAGATTCATTTAGCAAAATGTAATCCAGGCAAACCTTGAATGATGAGATGAGTCAAGCCAATGACACCACAGTGTTGTGTTTACTTCTGTGATTTTGGGGGTAGGGAGGATTGGCCAGAGGGGATAGCTATCTTTTGCACTTTTGGATCGTATCTTCCAGACTGTGTTTTCGTCTCTTTCCATCAGGATTTCACTCTTTTGGCTCTTCCCCTTTCCACTCTTTTCTTAGGGTTGCTTCTTCTGTTTTTCTTGTCCTCTGAATTGGGCCAGATTGTTCAGCATACTCTTTCTTTCTGCTCTCTGGTTCCCACACAACAGTTTTGGGGCCCCAGAAGTTCTCCCAGTCCCACTCCCCATAGGTTGGTCTTGTACCCTTTCTGTTATCCTCACCTCCCTTGCTACCCCCCTGTATTGTCTCATTTCCATTTCCTCCACCATACTTTGTTCTGCATCATATCCCCTCTGCTGTCCTTTCCTGGAGGAGGACCTTGGCACATGGAGCAGCCCAGGAGAGGACAGCAGCACAAAATGATCCCTCTGTTTCATGGCATCTACTGCTGGGGAAGGAAATTACTCAGGAACCTCAGTAAGAAACTCAGAGAAAGAGCTGCTGAGCAGCAGCTGAGTTTGTCCATTGGTGTCCTTCTGTCCTCCCCAGTGTCCTCCTGCCCTGGTCAGAGAGTTTCTAGCTCAGTAGTAAGAGGACTAACACTTGCTTTAGGCTGAACTCATTGCATAGGAGAAGGGGTCTCGTTCCTTCCCTCAGGTCTCCCCAGCCACACAGATGAAATACAAACTATGCATACAGTTTAAGTGAGCAGTCAAAGAGGGGTCGATTATTGTTTGGATTGCCTTTTCAGTAAGGTCAGCTGTGTTCCCTTCCCTTTTGCATTTCCTTAGCAAGTCTAAGCTAGGGCTGGTTACAGCGGTAGGGTAAGTATTCAGCCAAGCCAAGCCCTGCCAAGTCTGCTGCTTTTCAGTCCCCTTCAACAGCCGCACGCAGATTTGCTGCTATCTATCTTTTTTTCTCCCTGTGGGGCTGTATGCAGGTTTGGTCCTAAGAAAAGATCTCTGAGTCTGTTTTAATTATCACTCCATTATTGCCTGTAAAATAGCCTCTGGCACACAAAATTACATTTGGGAGAGATCCATTTCTTTTGAATTCAGATTTGTGATTTTACTAGAAACTATTCAGACAGACATACAGCTTAAGAAAAAAAGTGATGAGAAAAATCATCTCTTCCATTTTCACCCCGCACTCCTTCCCATAGGATAAAGGGGTGAAAACGTCCTCTAGCATACTTGCGACTGTGTCCTATAAAGATAAATATATACCTATGTCTCGGTTTACCTTAACGTCTAAGAGGGTATCATGTTGAACCCCCTAAGTAACTGGGGGTGCTTATCAGCATTGTGGCTGGATATCGGGGCCTCTGCAGCATGCTTACGCTGTGCCTTGTCTCCATGCAGGGTGCCAGTGGGAGCTGGACAGCCCAGGAACAGCGGAGCCGGGGGACCTCCGGCAACGAAAGGAGCTCCAGGAGCCATCCACCCCATTGGGGCCGGTCACACCAATGCTGCCACGGCTGTCAGACCGGTTGTTCCTATCACTGCACCTCAGACGCATCCCCAGCTGCAGGCGGCCTCTTCACAGCTGAATAACTGCTTGAGGTATTCGGCTCAGCAGCCGGCCAGCCAGACCCGCAACGCCATGCAGATGGGTATGTGCCTCTCGCCCTGCATCGGCAGGGTTGATGTTGTACCCCCTGAGCGCAAGCCTCTCGAATCTGCCTGTCCCGGCAGCTTTCTTTCTTGTTTTAGTCACAGCTCAGTCAATGTGGAATAGAGTATGTTTTATTTGCTTGTAATATTTATGGGCTTCTATTGATCTCTGGGAACCACGTTGTGTTTATCAGATTGTTCTGTTGCTACAGCTGAAATAGATTATAGTGTTTACAAATATTTATACAATTTATCTGAATGAAAGCAAGCACCCTGCATACTGAGGAGATTAACAGTTCTGAGTCCGGTTGGCTTGCTGACGGAAAAATACTGCCCTTATCACAGGGCAAGTAATACACGACTTAAAATTAAGAAGCATTTCATTGGGCTTCAGGGATGAAAGGTATTTATTAGGCAGAACAGGACCCGGTGTTAGTGATAAAGCAAAAGATCTGAAAAATACTGCCACCTTTTTGAAATGAGAATAAGAGCTTCTCACACCAGGGGGCCTCTGTTCTTTCTAGGTTCTCTTTCTGATGTACAGCACAATTTTCTGGAGTACAATTTATTCCTCTTTCCTTGATGTTAAACAGCTCTGACGTTGAAGAAAGTAAAAGTAAATCCTGTGGTGGAACTTTATAGCAAAATTTAAAACATTTTGTTTCTGATATTTTATAGGGATGTGAGCCATTGTGTTTACAAAGGCAGATCAGTAAGGACTGTGACTGCTGAAAACTGAGGTCTTAGATACAAAACAGAGCAGGCACAAATGAGAAATACACTGTGGTGTGAGTCATGGATTCATACCTTTTGAAGGCAGAAGGCACCATTATGACTGTCTAATCTCACCTCCTACGCAGTCCAGACCAAAGAGAAGAAAACGTAATCAAATATGTGTGAATCTGAATCTCAAATAGTGCAGACTCTTCTGCTCAACAAACAGCGTCAGGACTTTATGTGGCGTCCCTGTCACACTGGCGAATAATCAATTTATCCTCTTTTTGTCTAGTTCAGAAAGTCCTGCTTTCCCCTCAAGTCACACCCTTCAAAAAGCCCTTCTGCTCCCACAGTGCAAAGGCAGAAACGTCCCCTCTTGGGCAAGGCGCTCAGGAAGCGTTCGGGTGCTCCTGGTGCCTCCTGTACCCATGCCAACAGGCAGATGGACTCCCCTGAAACTGAGGTGACAGGTCATTTTGCCCCATGCACCTGGCATGCTCCACATCTTCCTTCCATGGCACTGCTGTGCTACACCTCCAGCAGCTTCCCTGAGTTAAGATTGCTCCTCTAGGTCTCTCTGACATCTTAAAGTGCCAAGGAGTTGGCAGGCAAGGTGATCCAGGGACCACAGAGCTGCTCCAAAACCTCTTAAGCAGGGAGTTCTCCAGACCTTCCAGAAGGTTCATGAGATTGTTGTTTTAATTAAATAAACCTTTGCCAGGATAAATAAAAGACGTTTTTCACGATTATCAGTATTTTTCTCCATAATGGATGTCCTCACTGGTATCCTGTGGACCAGAGCCCCTCAAATGGTCTCTAAAGAGAGACTAAAGTCCTGCAGGACAGGGCAATGCACACTGAGTTCTGGAAAAACTTTCCAAGAGAGGCAAGCTGGCACAGTATTCAAATCACATTTCTGTTGGCTTGCAATATACATGAGTAATAAATCAATTTTGCACAAGGCCACTAATGTAGGAATACACCCAAAATGAAATATGAGTGGTGTAGAACAAAAATAGCCTTCAGTGAGCATTGCTAATTAATAGCATGTTTGATGCAGCACAGTCCAGATCCAGAGATCCCAGAGCAAAGGCATATATTGTAACAGTAAGCAGATGAAATTACAGAATAAAATGTGAGAGCTATGTTCAGAGTTGATTTTTCTCAGGCCATTTATTTTACTGTTTCTCATGTTTTCTGTTTCCTTTGTGTCTGGAAACACCGAGTCCTATATCAAAGAAGTAATGTACCTAATATGATTATCAAATCAGTTTTCTGCATCCAGGTACATGCAGTGAAATTCCATTGTTGTGCTTTTGTTCTAACTTTAGGAAGGCCATTGCTCCCTACAACCAGTAGTTCAAAACCTTGACCCTGCAAGCTTAACCATCCCAGAGAATTAGATTTCTGGCAGCAGTGATTGCTCATCACACAGGTTCCAAATGGGAAAATCATGAGGAGGGAATCACTTCAAGATAACCAGTGGTGCCTTGTCTAGCTCTCTGGAAAGGAATTGCACTTTCCAATATATGTTCTTGGTAATCCAGGGTGGGGGAAATGGTAACTAATAGTAAGAATAGTCTTGAAGATGTCTGCAACAACAACTTTTAGGCCCTTCCTCATGCTACATGGTAAAATCACATCAAGTTCAAGACTGGTTGATGATAGTTTGGTTGATTTGCTATGAGCAACATTAATAAAAATAGATGTTATAGAGTCAAGGAGTTACCGTGAGGGAGAATCGTGTAAACTTTGGAGGTGTTAATCTGATGATCACCAACCCATCATGTTCAGCATCGCCTCAGATAACAGGGCATAAGGCTGGGGGATGAAATTCCCTCCTGGCAGGAGTGCTCAGCTGGTGTAGAGTATGATTAATGGCACTCCTTATCGTTTCAATCCCTGGTAATGGGTGCTGCTGTTAACCATAGAAACAGAAAATAGTGGTTTGAGTTGCTCTAGCATTGTTGTTTAGTTATAGATTAAGTGAACTCCATCTGGTCCTGTGTAAAAACGTATCCTTCAGATGAATTTGTAAGAAAACCAGAGATCAGAGTGGGTCAGAATTTTTGCAGAAAAATGCTTCTTGGTCAAAGAAAAGCTGATTTGTTGGACTCAAAGCTTTTTGACAGGAATGGATGTAGTCCAACCAGACTTCAGCCATGAAGCTGTCCTGGCTCAGGTTGCAAAGGGAATAGATAGCTGCCCAGAGCTGTTCTCTGCAGAGGAGAACAGTGCAGTGATGGGATCCTGTTTTCACATCCCAGGTGAATGCCCTGACCAGAATAGAGGCTATTGTGGGGTTGGTTGTGCAGGTTGTGCTCAGAAAAATGTTCAAAGGTTCAAATTTTGCACTGAGGCAGATCTAAACCAGGTTATGAAACCTTGAAATAATTTGTGAAATGGGCATTTTCCAGCCAGTCCTACTATTGAATCGTTTAAGTGAGGGAATGTCTGTCCACTTGGCTTCTGGTCTGTACATACTTGAAGCGGAGCTGTGTGTATGTTACACCTAAGCAATCAGCCAGCCTGGAAGTCAAAGGCAACACCGTTGTGGAAACAGACCTGGAGCTTTGTCACACTTTTTGCAACATGAGGCATGCAACAGGCTCCCGAATCCCTGGAGAGGTGACCTCGGCAGCGTGTCGCGGTCACCATTAAACAGACAAGAGCTAATTCCTGGTTCCTAGCACTCGTAGGCAGGGTTTGCTCAGCAGGGGCAGCAAGACTAAAAGGCACTGCATGGTCCCGTAGGGACTTTGCTGGCAGAGACGAGGCTGAGCTCGGAAATCCTCCGTTGGATTTCTGCTTAATTTATCTCGTGCAGCAGCACAGTGATGTGCTGTTGATCATTTTGTTAGGGCTGAAAGAAGAGACCTTCCTTTGTAATTGCCGTCTGTGAGGTCGGCGTGGATTGTCTGGGCTAACCCTTTAGGTCCCATGGTGCGTTGCTCCAAAACCTATCAGGTTAGGAGGGGGTCCTGGAGGTTTGGAAAACAGCTCAGCTGGAACGAGGTAAGGTATTTTAAAAACAGAGTAGGCTTTTTATTTATTTCCAGGCATGGGGCAGGGATGGTCAGGCTGTTCCCTAGTCACATCACTAGGCAGGACCAGCCATTTTGGTGACTGCAGACAGGCCTTTCGCAGCCAGGAGCGGGGTTTCTAGCATTTAGCCTTGCAGGCTGAGATATCCTGGGTTAAGGCTAGGAGCTTAGCCCTCCGTCAGGCCCCGGCGCCTCGTGGCAGCGATGGCCGCTGAAGGGCCAGGTTTGGCAGAGCGTGGGGGGCTTAACTGTGCTCTGTCCTCCCTCCACAGCTCACCCCCCGGTGCCG